GATGTTTTTATGTTATCCCTTCTTGATAGAAGCTTAACCGTTAAGGAAGGATCATCCTCACTGTGATATATAATAATTTTTAAAAGATCATTGAGGGTTAAGCAGCGTTCCTCAAATGCTAAATTAAATCTTCCTTCGACACGCCTCATCATTATATCATGGAGATATTATAACTTCGGGTTATTTGGATCGAACGGTTGTAGAGTTAATGGTTAAATTAATTTGATTATTAGTCAGAATTATGCTCTTTATCTTATAGTTTTGAAATTCTATTACTAAATCTTCCGCATTAAAGAGAGCTCTTCCTTTGTAATTTTATACTAAAATAAATATTACAAGCTTGTTCCTGCGCGAGGTGTAACGTATCAGACCTTTTTTATTAAAGTGCCAACTGTAGATCTTTAATATACATAGTATCCTCTGTTAAATCAGCTTTATATAATCCTTTACGTTCGTAATGCACCCATAGATGAACTTACCCAGATTCCATACGAGTGCGTTTTCTTTTACTAGGCATTTTCCTTTGTATGGATGATATTCCTCCTCATTTCCTAGAGCAGTGATAATATAGTTATCTTTAATTAAAACTACTTTTTCTCTCTTAAGATGCAGCTTACAAGTAGCGGTAAATCTCATTCCTCACCAACCGAAACTATAGATAAGAGGATTGTTGGTTGCTCAACTATTATTACCAATTTGTTTCAGTTCTGATTTATAATAATATTTGGTACTCACATGTTCTTTACATGACTGTACCGATATAGCTTCTTTGCTTATTTCGTCTTTCTGGACTCCCCAGGTTAATTTAAAAAAACGATTTGGTACACACTTCTCAAAAAAGATTAAAACATGGATGATCAACATTTTCGCCTTATGTAAAAATTGATTTTCAAGGATAAAGCTTCTGAAAGGTCAGGTGCACAGCGGTCAATAGATTTTAGAATTGTTAGACAAGTAGTAGCTTTAGGTCTAGCACACTAGTAAAATTGAGTGCATTTGTCTTCAGTGGTTATTGTACAAGGAAGTACAGTTATTAAAAGAAAAATGACAACGTTTTTCATTTTTTTTATATATAATATTAAGCCTCGGCAAAAATTTAAACGCCTGCTTTTTGGTATTATGTGTAGTCCATCCTGCAGCCGTAATAAAAATTCATTTAAAACAGTACACTTCACCTAAAATTAAAGGAATTTTACAAAACACTTGTATTGATAATATTATATTAACTACTTCAGACCAGGAAGAACTTATAAAAAATCCATCTCTAAAACTCATTTACAACCAAGCTAAAATGAATGTAAGGCAATTCGCTACCAGTTCAAAATGTGCTCATAGAAATATGCCAAAAGAGGATAGAGATGATAGTATAGAAATTTCAATATTACTACTATACTGGACACCTAATCCTGACAGTATAACAATAAAATATAAATCCTGGGAAGGTCAGATGGGGAATAAAAAGAATATTTTAGCATATATAGCTAGCCAGATTGATCCATTGAAGCTTATTATTCCGACCATTTTACTATTGAATTAATAGAAGCTACTAAATTAATAGAAACTAATTCAGTGAAACAGTGGAATAAATTAATAAAACCATTTGAATTCGTCTACGCACTAATAGATAGACAAGTTCTTCCAGATGGAGACTGAAACTCACGTGTATTTACAGATGCTTCTAAACTGGGATACGCTGCAGTAGTAGATAGTACAGTGAAAGTGAAGAAAGTATATATTCCAGTATTTTATGTGCTAAAAGTAGGTTGATGCCTTTTAAACCCAAGAATATCTGAAAAGCTGAGCTGTTAGCAGCGGGAGTGGGAACAAAACTTATTACTTTTTTCAAAAACCAATTAAATCTGGAAACTTCTTCGCTAACAGCTTGGTCTGATTCAAAATGTGTACTGTATTGGTTACAGTCCTCTAATATTAATACTAAACAGTGGTTTTTTTACAATAGAATAAAAACAATACCTAGTTTAGGAGTAAACTACCATTACGTATCACCTGAGGATAATCATGCAGACATAGGTTTTCAAGGTTGTGCACCTAGTGATCTTAGAGTGAATCAGTTATGGTGATCAGGACCAGTATGGTTAAATAAACGCTCAGTAAATGGCCGTGAGAGATAAAAGTTGGAAATATTAACTTAGAAGCTACTAAAAATGAAATAAAACGGAACCCGTAACTACATCATGGCCAGAATTGGCCCATACTTGAAATGTGTATTTGGAGCATCATTGAAATCGGAGAGCTGAATTTTGCTGCTAACAGTAAAAACAACAACTTTTTGTCCTCACTTCTCTAAAATGGTAGATAATCTAATGATTGCTCTACGGTATAGCTTTATCAACGCAGAAGTCAGCGACTCCAAACGGCCCACATGTCCCCCTAAGACACTTGTCTCTAGAAGTTACTTCTCCAACATAACGCAAAGCGTCTCTTCTGCCTTCCCAACAGGAATTTAAATCATTTTTTCGAAACTTCTTGACTTTACCTTTTTCCAAATTTCGACTTCCACGGTCATCATAAATTAATGAATTTTAAGTTTATTACCAAGAGTAATCTTACTTGTGCAACCGACGCTTCAATAGTTAAGATTCATTAATTCAACAATTATTTCCCTCATAATTTGCCCACCATAAGGTGAAATATTTGATAAACGTTTCGAAAAACAATCAAAAAATAACCAAAGTAAGTTTATTACAAAAAGCATTATCCTAGAAAATGGATTTTTTGGCAACAAAATCTATTGGCCTCCTGAGGTAAACAAACTGTCCACAGGGCTCATCCTTCTCCAATGTGGCAAGGTAGATCGGCGTGTCTGCTCCCTCCTCAATTGTCAACGACCCTTTATGACTAGTCATATCCGTATTTACGTAACCAGGGCAGCACTAGAATTTACAGGCTGTTAAAGCCAATAAAAAAGTATTATTACGTGACCAAATTTTAGACATAGTTCCATCAATTATCCCCAAGGAAAATTCGCAAAAACCAGAACAAAGCAAAATAAGATAACTTAGGAAGACGACAATGGCTGACCAAGTTTCTGCCAGCACTAATTTAAACAATACCAATAACTGTAAACTGGTCAGAAGACGCCCCATTTTTCTTGAACTTTTTTCTCACCCTCAAAGTTTTGCAGCTCAAAAAACTAAAAACCTATTCGAACTAATAATCCCTATACAACTAACTGCATTAACAACAATATTCCTCGACTTTAACTCGCGTGCTTGAATAAACGTCAGCACTGATACAGCCGTTTTTGAGACACAGTATGCAGATTCTGGGTAACCACGTTCTTTTCGTTTGTTGTCAACACAAGCTCTGAAAATCGATCAAAGTCAATCTTCTACCTAAATCAGTTCAATTCCGAATTTTTAAAGTGAAGCTTACTTTATATAATCTTTGCAAAATTGCTCAATTTCTGCAACAGTAATGGAAGGGTTTGACATTTTTGTTATAATTTCCTCGCTGTAACGACCATGTAGAAGTAAACCCATTTGGCTGGCGACGTTCACTACTCTGTCGACAATAACAAAATTACTTTAACTAATAAACGCTGACTAAAACAGTTATTAAAGGCAAGTTTGTTAACAATTCAACTTTGATCCAATTTTAACAGTTTTATAGCCAAATTAAGGATGACAGTGAACAATTACTCCGTTCGAAACAGCCACGAAAAACATTTAACGGTTTACTATACCCATTCAGGCTTTATTATCTAGACAATTTTGGAATCCGTAGGCAATAGGAAAGATCTGTACAAACACATCATATGCCTCTCAAAAGCGGCACTGATACTTAAGCCATAAAGGAGTTAATCAGTCGTTTAACAAACTTTATTTGCAAATTTAAAAGCACTAATTACCTGCCACCGGTTCTTATAAGCGGGAAAAGAATGTCGCATACTTGCTTCGTCCCTTCGTAGTTCACACCAATAGTAACTCGAGCTTGCTCTTCAGCTGGTTCAGTAGCAGCATGCTTTAAAGAAAAGACCAGTAACGTTAGAGAAGAAGTGCAAATACTTGATTGACTTCCATACACATGACAACAAAAAATAAACCTGATCATGTTAAGAAAAAAATGTTTAGAATGATGACTACAACTTCCCACTTCCTCGTATTTCCCAAAGTTATCCACTCTTGTGGACCAGAACACCTGACTCCTATCAATGCACTATTTGTAAGTTAATGAAAAGTGAAATTATTTACCTTGAAGGCAAAACCAGCATTATTCACCAGCACATCCAGCCCATCGTGCTCCTTATTCAGATAATCAGCTAACTTCTGAATTGAAGACTTATCAGTGATATCCAATTGATGGAATTTGACTTCAGACTGCCGTTTTTGTCCTAGCTCCTCAAGAACCTTTTTCAACGCAGCTTCACCAAGCGAAACATTACGGGCTACAATCAAAGACGGCAATAAACTAATTTTTTAGTAAATATCAGAAAGGGTACCTTAAAAAACATATAGCACAGATCTTAGGTACTTAACTTGCTTTGAAAGAGCCCGACGTATTCATCTCCCTCATAAATTACTCTGACTTACAGTTCTTATAAATGTTAGCACGTTGTGAAATTCGTAAAAAATTACCTGTCAAGTAGATAATACCGTTGTGAATTTGCTCCGCTAAGCCTTTCACTATACCGTAACCAATGCCTTTGTTGGCTCCAGTGACCTATAATGATTTAAAGTTGATTATCCTAGAAACTTCCAAGTGTTGGTTGACTGAGAACTATATTCTAAATATTCAGTAGACTGTGATTTTGCAACTTTTGAAAGGTACTGTAGACATGGCTTTCGTCATTTCAAAAACAATATACACGTCATCCTCTGTGCACTTTTTTACATTTTCTTTAACAATTTAAAAATGTAGAAAGAAAAGAGGGAAGTTACACACATACTACAAATATACGATGCATTTTCTCGAGTGTTCTTTTAGCAGCAAAACAGGCAGGTAAGCAAAATGAAGCTTCGTTTCTTCCTAAAGACCATATATAACAATTATTATGATGTAATTTATTGTTACAACGCAGTCTGCCAAACTCGAATACACCAACGTAGTTGAATAACGATATCCTTACAAACCAAAAAAATACTCAACAAAAAAAAACATTTTTATCAGAATTGATAAAAAGCTTTGAAGCGCTGGTTTCACACCAACATGGCCAGTTATGACATACTCCATAAGCTTTTCGAGTAAAATACTACAAAAGCACTACGAGGCTTCTTACTTTTCAGTTCATTCCGCTACCCCAGTCTCCGCAAAAATACAGCAGCCACTTGAAACCGCTAAATAGTTTTTCAGTGCTCTGGCTAAATTCTGACAAAAATCAAAGTTAAATTTTGATTACAAATCCCTAACATGGAATAAAGAGAATGAATTTATTCCTCATGCGCATTCTGAACAGGTTTTCCCCTCCATCCATTTGCACTCTCTCTCGTTTGCCCCTCAATGACAGAATCTGAAGGTAACAGATTAGCAAAGTACAGTTCAAGATGCAATTAATCGAACACACCGAGCTCCAAACTGCAGTAATTCTTCTGTCCCAGTGGTCACGACGGCTTCATTTAGGTTTAGTGCTTCTATTGTGCACTGATATTCCGTATTACTTTTGCCAACTAGCAATACAGTTTCAACTGTAGTTTCTGTACCATATAAGAATGCAACCTTTAGATACAAATATTTCAAATGGCGCTTAACATAGCTGACTAATAGCAAAGGTGTAAAAATAAAAGAGGAAGAAGTAGAAAAAGAATAACGAAAACACAGTGAACCATTGGCAAACTGTTCAATTAATTACATTGGCTTTTTTCTTGCCCTTCCCTCTATAGCCTATTTCCAATATTTTACTGTACAAGCAATTTTTTCTTTACCAAAACTTCACTGATCCTCACTTTAACAACGTAACAAACAGTTTTGTACTATTATATGTAAATTGTACTTATAATCAAGAAAATTTTTCTTGTTCTCCCGTCTGTAGCCCGTTTTCAATATTTTGCTATATAAGCAATTTTTTCTTTACCAAAATTTCGCTGATCCTCATTTCAACAAACAGTTTTGTACTGTAATATGTAAATTGTACTTATAATGCAGAAGAAAACTACACATTTTCTAACAATGAAAGAAATACCGACATTAACAATTATGACTGGTTAATGTCTTGACATCCAAAAATCAGAGAGCACATATATCCTTCCATTAACCATTGATACTATGCAACCAAAATGAAAACCCCAAAGAAAGAAGTTATTGCAAATTACCACCTATAATACATTCAATTGTAATCGAATATTTTAGCCTAATTTGGTGACACTTAAACGATAGCAATTTAAACTGTACGAAAGAATGGGGTCCTTCTAAATCTAATCGACAGAATACAAAGCAGTGGTGTGACTAAAGAGCCGCTGGTTAGCGCAAAAGCCAAGCAGTATACTAATAGGAACAGTAGTATTTCAGCAACATATAGTGCCACTTTATTCTTTGGTAGTATCATTAACTATAACGACTAGAAACTCTAATGTACAAACTAAACATTCTCACTATTCTTCAACAGTGAAATGCTTCCCTTTTTTTTTTTTTTTTCGTTAAAACTACCAACCAAATCGCTTAATGATATAATTGAAAGATCTGATCAATTATTTTATTTCACAACAAATCCTGTTCCCTTTCTTTTCAGTGTGGTATGAAGAAATGTCGTCCAGTTGTTTCAACTATCTAAGTCATCATCAAAAAAAAAAAAAAAAA